GCATTAAAATCGCCAGCATGACTTTTAAATCGTGGCGGGGGCGGTGTTCATGATTACGCTCCAGGCGCTCATAAAAGGCATCTTCGGCCAAATCGTCATTCTCTTCCGTCGGAGCGTAGGCGCAAATCAACGATATGTGAAGAAATTTCACTTCAATGCTCTCAAAATTCGCCCACTTATCGATGAAGCAACTGAATCCCTCCGAAAGTTTGAGATTTCTGAATTCAACGCAGCTGTTGATGAAATGAGCATCAAATACTGTGGTTAGCATGATATCAAACAATTAAAAGTTAAAGCAATAAGGATTGGACACAAGCTTTGAGCACTATGTGGAGTTTGCGAATAGTATCCGCTAACTTCTCTCTTCATATGCATACTCAAGGATATTCAAATCTCTGACAGTTCCGTGGTAAACAAGTTGCTTACAGTATGTACTGATTGATTGGAAATGTGAAGGGTTCAGAACTGTAGGAACTGCCATGAAACGTTATTTTTGAACCAGCGAGATTGTGGAACACCAGTTAGGACACCACTCGAAAACAACTGCAATTAAGGAGGAATATTTCATATCAAATTATTAATTGGAGCACTATTATATTTGGCTGTAACAACATGACCTGATTTGGCTTTCGCAGTGAATTTTTTAAGCCTATTAAACTCAAATTATAATTCTGAGAATAGGAAGAAAGCCAAACGAGTGCTAAGGTATTTGAAAGGTACATTAAATTATGGCCGGCTACGCTTTCTTATTGGCAGTCGCCGCAATATCCTGGAAGGCACGTAAACATAACGAACGAAATTAAATTAAAGCACATTCACAAAGACGACAAAAGTGCACAGAAGTCCGAAGCAACGCAATCCACTCACGTACAAAAAATATAGTTCTACGTCCGTACTTCATACTCGAAATGCCCAAGAGCGGCGATGAATTATATCCATCAAATAAAAAACTATTTTAAAATAAAATGAAAAAATAAAAACCATTAAATGAAATAAAAGAAAGTAAAGCTAATCAAAATTAAATAACATTATATAATATAAATGTAATTAAAATAAAATAAACTAAAACAAAATAAATACAACAAAATAAGGTTAAACAAAATCAATTATAAAAATTTAACAAAAATAAAAATTAAAATAAAAACAAAAATTAAATGAAATAATCTGAAGAGAATTAAAATAAATAACATTACCAAAAAAAAGAGAAATTTAAATAAAATAACATATATATGAATGGCTTAGTAGTAAAAATATAAATTAATATAAAATAAAATAAAATAACATAAAATAAAATAAAATAAAATAAAATAAAATAAAATAAAATAAAATAAAATAAAATAAAATAAAATAAAATAAAATAAAATAAAATAAAATAAAATAAAATAAAATAAAATAAAAAAAATAAAATACAATAAAATAAAATAAAATGAAATGAAATAAGATAAAATACAATAAAATAAAATAAAATTAAATAAATGAAAATAAAGTAAAATAAATATAAAATAACTTTAAATAAAATAAAACTAAAGTATTATTACCAGAAAAAACAGTTATAAAAAACAAATAAAAGTAATAGTACACCAAGTAAAAATTAAATGAATGAAAAGTTATATGATGAGGTGGAATATAAATCAAAAAATTAAAATTAAATAAAAGAAAACAACCAGGCCTCGTAGTTTACTTAATACTTATATCAAAAAAAGAAAACAGAATTGATTCGTAAATAAATTACAATAAATAAAAATAATTTAAATAATATAAAAAAATATAAAATTAAATTACAATAAATGAGGCAAAATAAAACAAACATAATTCGAAGCTTTAAACAAATAAATATAAATATAGAATAAACTGCCATTATTTCATGTCCGAAATACACTCGGAAGGGTGGACATTCGGCAATTAGAAAATTTAGTTTTTATTTAAATTAATTTTCCATAACTTTTTGGATGGTGGTGGTTGGTGGTGTGGTGTTGAACCCGAGACTTCCGAATGTCAGCACGTATTGCTAAGCATTCGGCTACCGCGGCCGGCATAGGTAAATGGATAAAATAAAATAATCAAAATAAAAAATTTAAAACAGCTCAATATAAAATAGCTGAATAAAGTAAACTAAACTGTTATTAGTAACACATAAACGTTATCGATATCATCCCTTATAGATAATAAAATTTAATTATGCAGATAATAAAATGCAATTTATATTTTTTTCTGGAATATTTATTTGCCGTAAATTAGATATGACGCACTCTGCATTGCAATACTGTAATAACATAAAATTCACTTGTTAATTATGAAAGAGCTTGTTTGCTCAATTTACAATTTATTTATAAATAAATTTGTTGCTTGCTTTTAGTTATTAAAAGACTTGTTCCCAATATACAATACATAAGTAAACTTATTATTACTCACAAATCCCCTGGTTAGTTAACAACAACAATCCGTAGTACAAATTGACTTGTATACTCATCAAAAAATATCAACTCTCCCGAAGTATTTAGGTATTCTGTTCCTACCCTAGTCATTAACACACATACTTAGGTACTTACAATACTTTGCTTATGCTTTGTACTAACATGATTCGTTTTAATACCTAATTACAATAAGAACATTTTAGTAAGTACTCGTATGTACGCAAACACACCTACAAATGTTGATATGTTTAACTAATACGTGCAAAGTTCTTCTACAATTAACGGTTAATTTATATTATTATTTTTTTCTTTTTTGAATTTATTTTTTTTGCTAAAAATTGCTGAAAATATTTTCGTTGTTCGGGTACTAATCTGTTATGCAATATGTTTTTAATAATTAAGTGCGTCCAGGTGCACTGGGTACATATTTTTCCGATGGTTGATATTGCCATTGGGCACAAATTGTATCCTGTTCTGTTTTATTGTAGCCAGCCCTAGGAGAAAAAGAAGGAAGTGAATTAATTAATTTTGAAAATAAATAAATTTAAATTTTCCATGTCAGAATTCACTAACATAACTTTCCTGCGATCGCCTCTCGGCGGGCCAACAATTAGATACAAACCACAAATTGGAGGTGGGTTTCGGTTTCAGCGCTAACAAAACGTCTACTATAACACATAATTGTGTGTGAAGATCGTGAGAAGTTGACCCACAAAGGAAATCAAATTCACTTGGTGCCCTCAATAGACGCTAAACAGCTAATTGAAGAAACGATTGGAGCACTATTATTGACGCGGCTAGACGAAGAGGCAAATTGAGCGATCGACCGAGCTGATACAGGAGCTTTGTACCATTCATATAGGGGAGTGGCCAGAAACGATTCTTTCGCATATGGTGAAAGCAGCTCACAACTTTCGGTATTAGATCAGGTATCCCCTAGGTAGCCAACAAGCATCCGTTTGGAGGCGAGCTAAAGTGAGAAGGTGAATCCCATGCGATTGTGTGTAGGGTTTGGGACCCACCAAAAGAGAAACGAAAAATACAAATCAAATTAAGCCTCGTATAAGAGAACTACCCTTTTGATGACGACCCGCGCAAAAGGTTTAAGGATTATGATTTGAGGGCATGCATTTTTAATTCCCGGTGCCTTAAAATTAAATGCTGCCATCACCGCCGTCCAAAAAATGCGATGTACGGTCTCAACACAATCAGCATCAAGTCGATATTCTTTAATACCTGGCTGATTTGCGCCCATGCCCCGACGGAAGAGAAGGATGATTCGGCCAAGGATGCCGTCTCCTGTCATTAAACAAACACTCGTCACATTTGCTACAGTGACTCCCCTGTCATAAATAAGAGATCGTAGATAATTTCGTCTATTTAGGGACCAGTATTAACACCAATAATAATGTCAGCCTTGAAATCCAAAGCAGGCAATTCGAAACCAAACTCTACAAGCCGTTCATCATATTCGTCCTACTGTATGGCGCAGAAGCGTGGACGATGTCAAGATCTGATGGGTCGGCCCTGGGAGTCTTCGAGAGAAAAGTTTTGCGAACGATTAATAGTCCTTGTCGCATTGGATACGCGGGCTAGGTCATTCGTTTGTATGGATGAAACCACTCCAGCTTTGAAAGTATTCGATGCAGTCTCTATCCTCAATCACTTGATATTTCCAACAGCGAAAAGAAGGAATGAATCAATTACGTGGGGCTACAATCGAACAAAAAACTCATTTCCGCCTACCTGAGGCGTTGACAGTCATTGGTACAGTTTCCAGGTATATTTTCAAAAATCCGAAATATGAAGCACTGGGTTGAACAGCGTGGTGTCATCCCCCGATGCCGATGACTGCCCGATATTGGTTTCTGGTCAGGATGTGGGTAATCTATGTTTGAAAATAAACTTTCCTATACCTTTTCTTCTTCATTTCATGACAATCTGACAATTGCAAGAACAACAAGCGATATCCTTGGCAACCCTCTTAACCAGTTGGATGAAGGAGGACCGGCTCGAACTGAAAGTCGCCGATGTTAAAATCTTGACAATAGAATACCCCAATTTACAGCGATTGCTTCCTTGCCTCATGCGACTTGGTTTTCTGCCAAATGGGGAGAAGATAAACAAACGTTACCAGCCGATCTTTTTGCCGCCCTGAGAACTTGTGTTGAGCGATTGCAAACACTAGAGTCTGTCACCGGCAACACCTTTATAAACTCTCTTCCTGTAAATGGTTCGCTGGGAACACCACCTATAGCAGGCGAAGAGTTCAAGTTGTCTCAGGAGACCCAACTAATATTTGTACAGTGAAAGAGTGGAGACTATAGCAGCTACATCTCTATTTATTGAGACTTAACTCCGACATACCTAACATACATACATATGTCCTGCATGTAACGAGTACCTGTAGGACTTCTTGAACAGCATGTTCAATGACCTCGAAGGTGTACACTGTAATTGCCTGCTCCCAGGCGGGGTTTATCAAGCAAAAATAATAAAAACATATTTTGGGAAATTAAAATTTAATTAAATCATAAGTTTAATACTGACGTTAAGTAAATCTATAAACTTTTTTAAAAATACGTCTATATCAAATTACAATACAAAAATAAATAAAAAAAACTTAAAATTATTTATAACTATTGAGAACTAAATAAGTCTCCAACTCCCGTCAGTCTTTGGCGCCCCGAGTCAATAGTCCCAGAAATTATTCGATGATACACCGCCTCTGTGGTTATAATAAGAGCTCGATTCACGTTCAGCTCTACCATAATAATAACCCCGTCCACTATTACTACCTCTATTGGGCGGTAATTCAGGACTTGCGCGAGAATTGAAAGTATCCCAAAGCACACGTGGTCTTTGTACGATCTCACGAAAAATATTTACTGCAGCCAAACCCACAGATGCGACTTTAACACCTAAACGACGTGTTAAAGAGTTTAAATTTTGTTTAAAACCCGGACCATTGTCCGAGCGCAAGGAACGACTATAATATTCATTGCCTTGCGTGGGCTCTGGATATGAATAGAACTTCTGCGGCAAACCATAGGGATGTGAGAGTATCTTTTCAATGACATTGCCCGCATTGGGCGGCACATAGAGGTCCGCTTGACGATATGTAATATCACAACGATTTGTGCGATAAAAGAAATCTTCGAACCTTTGGTGTGCAGAGCACGGACTGCGCTCCTGGAAGCATGTGACCTGTACGACATTGTAGAAGATGGCGCCCAGTGTGTTTGCGGTTTCTGTAAGAGGAAAATATGTAAGCTTATATTATGCAACATCCTCACAAACTAGAGCCTCACACACCTGTGTTGAGCGATTGCAAACATTTACGCAAACGCGCGTCACAATCGCAATGCGAACGTGTAAATGTGCCCGTATTGCAAAGACCACGTCGACACTCGCCCACAGTCAATACATTCGGACAGTGATCGTGTTCGCGACAGCAGCGATCCTCAGCGATATGTGGTCCCAAGTCATTGTAATCGAGTGCGGTGGAGCCTGTAGGTAAAGATTTAATATCTCCTTACACTGTATGACTTATTAGGACATGCCACTACCTACCTGGTCCACACCATTTCGTGCCCGGATAGATAAATCCTAAGCCTCCTCTAAACTCTCGGCCATACGAGCCGGACTTCAAACATACTTCCTCTAGCTCCATCACCGATTCACGTGGCACTTGACGTATGCGTCTAGGATCGGACTGTAGTAACATGCGCTGAATATCACCGCTACAAGAGAAGAGACAACAATAAGTACAGGGGTATAGAGAAAATATGTAGATTTTTATGGAAATTCACCGATCAGTATGCATTTTACAAAATGGATGGCGCGATGACAGCTCCACCATTACGGACATAGTGTTATCGGAGATCAGCACCGCCGAGCTGTGAGCACTGTCAATAAAAATCGTCACCACCAGCGCTACGGTTAGAACAAGTATGAAGAGCTTCTTTGACATGCTGCAAATGACAGAAAATGAAATATTTTGTGTTACTAGAAACAAATACATACATATATACTTTAATTAGCATTCATCAAATAACGGTATCAATAGGAAACCTTGCAGCAATTAAAACTCCAACAAAGTTACTTTGTAAGCGATTTCTGTGAGGAAAAAGTACATTGCTTTTGTAACCTCTGAAACGATTGTCCGCCGAGCTACTCCTCCAATTTGTGGTTTTGCGTCTTGATGTTTTTCCAACAAATGGAGGGACCTACAGTTTATACTAAGCCGCCACCGAACGGCTGATGTCTTTTTTACGAGGGGCCTTTATTTCATGTCCGAAATACACTCGGAGGGGTGGACATTGCGCAATGAGAAAATTTAATTTTTATTTAAATTAATTTCTAATAACTTCTTTGGATGTTGGTTGTTGTTCCACCGGCCAATGAACCCGAAAGTCAGTACGCAATGCTAACCACTCGGCTACCGGCCGCCAATATTCTACCAACAGAACCCGAAAATTAAACATGGAAAGTGCTAAAAATTAAGTTTCCAAATGCACTGGTGGAGTTCGCTGTAACAGATTCAATATAACGCCCAATCATGCACAGACAAAAAGCAACAAAATCTGTAGCCGAATCCCTTCGGAAGCGAGGACTCAAGGATTATAATTATTTGTTCTCATTATGTTTTTCATTATTTAACTATTTTAATTTAGTTCAGTTTAATATTACTTTATTTTATCTAATTTAATTCGATTTAATTTAATTTTCCCTGTGTTTTTTTTTTATATACTCAATTTGTTTTAATTTAATTTTATTTTATTACTTTTTAATATGTTTTATTTTAATTAAGTTAATTTGGTTTAATTTAATTTTATTTCTCAATCATGCAATTCTGTTTTATTTTTATTTATATTTCAATTTTATTTTATTTCTGTTTTCATCTAGTTTTGCTTTTAATTTAACTTTTATTTTAATATTTTGATTTAGTTTTTTGTTTTTCTACATTATTTTATTTATTTTTACATTTATTTGTGAATTCACTAAATTGCTATTTTATTTTAAGTTTCACTATTTTGTTTTGATCTACTTCAGTTTAATTTATATTTATTTTGATCCAACCAATTTTTTTATTTTTATGTTATTTTATTTCAATTAATTTATATTTTCCCATATTTGTTCTAGAAAATTTTTTTTCTTTATTTTAATTCAATACAACTTTATTTAATGTAACTTTACTTCTCTTTCATATTTTATTTTATTTACTTTGATATAATTTAATTTTGTTTTAAACGACTTGATTTCAATTTGTTTTATTTTATTTCTATTCATATTTTATTTAATTTTTACATTACCTTATTTTAGTTTACTCTATTTGATTTATTATTTCAAGTTTGTTTTCTATTATTTATTTTTATTGTTTTTTAATTTATTAAATTTTTGTTTATTTTCTATTATTTAATTTTTTTTTTAATTTATTTAATTTTTGTTTGTTTCTATTATTTATTTTACTTTACATATACTTTTCCATTTTCTCTCTCATTTAATTTTAATTTTTTTTATTTATATTTTGACATTGAATTAATAATCATCAGTTAAAAGTAAAAAAAATAATAACATATTAAAATTGTCTGTTTACAATCCTAAACACGGTTGATAATAATTAATAAAGACTTTTGTATAGAGTAATTGGGATAACACCAGTAGATGACACAATAATTTGGATTACAATAGAGACTCGATTCTCGCACGTACAGAGTAATTTTTTTAACGCCAATTAAAACGGTTTTTTTACCAGTAAAAAATTAAATTAATTTCATTCATTATATTCGAGACATACTTGTTTGTTTAGTACTACTTTGCTTATAAGCCTCTGGAGCGTCAAAACGACGAAACATTATTTCGCTCCGCCCAATCAAGTGCAAACTAAAATTGAAATTTTTTGAAGAAAGCGCTTTTATTAATGAATTATGTATTCGCCATCATGTTCGGCAATCCACTCCCTTACGTATGCCTGATTCATAGAAATCGCGCGGTTTCTCCTTGAAAAAGGTGTCAAGGTGGTTTTTGACGTCTTCCACATTTTTAAATTTTTTTCCATTCAAATTGTTCTGCAGCGATCGAAACAAATGATAATCAGAAGGTGCAATGTCGGGTGAATATGGGGGATGCGGCATGATTTCCCAATTCATCTCCTTCAGTTTGGCCAGGGTCGGTTTTGCAACATGTGGCCTGGCGTTGTCATGATGGAAAAGAACTCCTTTGCGATTGGCCAAAATCGGACGTTTTTCATCAATTGCTTTCTTCAATTCGACCAATTGCTGACAATACTTGTTGGCAGTGATCGTTTCTCCAGCTGGCAAGAGCTCAAAATAGATCACGCCTCGGATATCCCACCAAATGCACAGCAGTACCTTCATCGGATGCAATCCACCTTTCGACATCGGTTCCGCCCCTTCGCGTGCCTGTTTCCATATTCTTTTGCGTTGAACATTGTTGTACAGGATCCATTTTTCATCACCAGTCACGAGCCGATCCAAAAAAGGTTCCCACTTTGCTTTTTTTCACTCAACTGATGTGGCACCCATGTATCGAGCTTTAAAGTGTACCCAACCTCTTTTATTCGTCGTTTAAGCAGTTGATTTGTTGACGTTCAATTCACGGGCAACCTCTTCCGTCGAAATACGTGAGTTATTCGCAACTAAAGTCCTTAGAACATCGTCATCAAGCTCAGAAGGCCGTCCAATGAGAGGTTGATCTTCGAGGTTAAAATCTCCAGAACGAAATTTCGCGAACCATTTCTTTACTGTGCGGAGTGCTGGAGCACGGTCCAAATAAACTTCGCGAATATCTTTAGTTGCAGCGCCTACTGTTGTTCCTTTGCGGAATTCGTATAACATAATATGACACATATGATCTTTTTCGTTGTCCATCTTCCATGCGTCTTTTCACTAAGCAACTCAAGTCAAAATGAAGTTATTTTATGCTTGATTTACAGTTCGGATTGTCACCTTTCCAACGATATACAATATGTATATATTTCTTTCACGAGCGCCACTCTTAAACGCTTCGAACGTCATCCAGCGGAATCGCGCAGGAACTTATACACTCATCCAATATATTGAAAGCTGAAGTGAAGTGTTCGCAATTATCGTTATCCGTAAACTTCGTCATCGTCATTATATTCATTTAAAGAGATAGGCTCTAAATTTGGTTCACCAATCTATTGCTCGATTACTGAACTTGGTTATTGAACCAGTGGTTCTTGAAGCAATTTTGCAATGAGCTGAATATTGGATGCAACTCAGAAAGAGGAAAGATATCCTCACTAACCCAATCAGATGGCTTTTCAAACAGTTTTTGAAACGATGATTGAATTGAAGTTATTAAGAGCATCCGTTAGCAAGCGTTAGGTAAAAATCATATTGCATGCTTCAGATTAATATTTCTTCAAGACTCATCTATAGTTTTTCCCTGGGAAGCAATGTGAATTAATAGCCTTATTTTGTAGTTTGGTTTGCTAAGCCTTATAATATTTTGATCCTTTGGTGCTGTGCAACTTAAAAGTAAACACACTATTTATAAGGATGTATGATCATCGAAATTCGACTCCTTTGCTTGGCAAGGAGCAGTAGAAGTAATTTTTATGGATGATTTTGGATATTAAAAATATTTTATATTAAAATTTGTCTTCGTTGTAAAAAAATAAACACACCTCGGGAACGAAATATTCCTCAAATAAAATTAATATCATCCTAATACGTTTATTGTTTTTGTAGACAACAAACATATCAGTAAAAAATTTTCAGCTACCATAAATTTTGCTCGACGGTTGGGTCGGAGCCAAAGTTTCTGCTCCTTTGTGGAATTTAAATTCATTATTGCTTTGTTTAATTCCTCCAAAAATGGGTTAACAGAATTATTCTTATGTGATAATTTTTCTCCTTATATCTTGAGTCTTTGGCTAGTTTTTGGCTCCTTGATTTGCAAACCGTTTAAACAATGCCTTTTCAATTTCTAGACACAAGGGAACTTTCAGTGTTTTCCTTTTACCGGGTCGTATTCAGATCGGCAAGCAAACTTCTTTATGTACTGTTTCTTAATACGAATATCCTTGATTTCATTGGTTAGGGTGTGATATTCTCTAACCTTCTCGGTGTTGCATTTTTGTACGTTGCGAGTGTTTGGTACTCCAATATCTATTAGCAGTGGTCGTACTTTTCCCTTTTCGATTACTGCTATGTCTGGTCTATTGTGTGGGGAGGGATGATTCGTCATCATCATCGTTTGAGTGCTAAGCATTGATGTCTTGTCAGATATTCGGTAGTGGCTCGATCGTTGAGGTGTCAGTGACATTTAAAGGAGTGTACTTTCGATCTGGTTGGCTTACGACTTTGTGGAATTGATTTTGTCGCTCGTGAAAGTACAGGCGAAGATTGTGTATTCACTTTCGATATAGATGCGTAGTGTAACATGCCTCGTCCTCCTTGCCTTCAAGGTAGGTAGACGCGATCTGCGGCTGACTTGGGATGATGTATTCCGAATTTAGTTAGTAGCGTTCTTGAAGAACTCTAAACGCTTTTAAAATCTGTATCAGACCAGTTTGTTATTCCGTCGGAACTAGCTTTTAGGAGGATAAAGCCATTAAGATGCGACTTTAGTGAGTTTTTCACTCGCTTAAACATCTTCCTCCATCGTTTGACGAAAGATTTCAAAGTGATGTATTCTTTTTGCTTAAGTCAAGCCAAAGGATTTATCATTTTCTGACATGACATTAACTCATTATTTGACAGCTCAAAGTCTCGCATAATAATTTTCTCAATTACTGCACGAAGTCGATGATATTTTTAGGAACCAAATAACATAATTATGTCTATAATCTATTTATATGGATATAATAGGTGGGAAAGCTCATGCTGAGATAAACATGATCCTTTTATTTCAAAGTCTTCCCTTGTCTCATTTAATAAAGGGGTTAAGTGGGTTTAATTTAAGATGAAACCATAAAGGGTTC